TCTTCTTCTCTTGTTTTCTCTCTTCTCTCTCCTTCTTCTTTTCTTTCTCCTCTCTCTCTCTCTCTGCTCTCTCTCTCTCTCTCTCTCCTCTCTTCTTCTCTCATTCTCTGTCTCTCTCTCTATTCCTCCTGTCTGTTTCTGAATTTCTCTCTAATTCTCTGCTCTTCTCTCTCTTTTTGTCTTCATCTCTTCTCTTCTCTCGTCCTTCATCTTATCTACCTTCCTCTCTTTGTCTCTTCTCGCTCTTCTCATCAATCGTCCTTCTCTCTTCTCTCTCTTCTCTCGTCTCTTCTGTCTTCTCTCTCTCTGTTCTCTCCCTTCTCTCTCTCTTCTGTCTCTCTTCTCATCTCTTCTCTTTCTCTCTCTCTCTCTCTCTCTTCTCTTCCATCCTCTCTCTCTCTTCTCTTCTCTCGTCTTCTCTCTAAATCTCTCTCTCTCTCTCTCTGCTCTCTCTCTCTCTCTCTCTCTCTCTCTCTCGTCTCTCTCTTTCTCTCTCTCTCTCTCTATATCTTCTCTCTCTCTTCTCTTCTCTCCTCTCTCCTCTCTCTTCTCTTCTCTTCTCTCCTCTCTCTCTCGTCTCTGCTCTCTTCTCCTCTCTCTCTCTCTCTCTCTCTCTCTCTCTCTCTCTCTCTTCTCTCTCTCTCTCTCTCTTCTTCTTCTCTCTCTCTCTCTCTTCTCTCTCTCTCTTCTCTCTCTATCTCTCTCTCTCTCTCTCTCTCTCTACTTCTCTCTCTCTCTCTTCTCTCTCTCTTCTCTCTTCTCTCTCTCTCTCTCTCTCTTCTCTTCTCTCTTCTCTCTTTTTTTTTTTTTTTTTTTTTTTTTTTTTTTCCACCCCTTTTTTTTACCCACCCCCCCTCCCCCCCCCCCCCCCCCCTCTCTCTATGCTCTCTCTTATCTCTGACTTCCCCATTCTTTTCAGGACCACATCTACACACGATGACCGCTCCGAGAAAAACCCGGAGGAGCTACCACCACAGAGCGCGGCGGCAGAGACGCAGCTTTCTGATAGAGAGGGAGGAGGTCGGAGGAAGGAAGGAGGAGTAGGGAGGGGGAGAGGGAGAAGGGAAAGTAGGGAGGAGAGCGGAGAAAGAGATAGAGAAAGGAGAGTGGAGGGAGGGAGGAGGAAGAGAAGGCAGGGCAGGGGAGGGTAGAGAGATGGAGGGAGGAGGGTAGAGAGAGGAGAGCGGAGAAAGAGACAGAGGGAGGGAGGAGGGGGAGGCAGGGCAGAGGAGGGTAGAGAGATGGAGGGAGAAGGGCAGAGAGAGGAGAGCGGAGAAAGAGATAGAGAAAGAGACAGAGGGAAGGAGGAGGGGGAGGCACCCACCTCGAGTCGTCGTCCCCGTCCGCGTCCGAGCCGTCGTCATCGTCGTTGCCGATGCGCAGCTGCTGGTTGCGCTTCGTAGCATCTGCCAGCTGCGAGATGACGTAAGCCTCCTGCGTGCGGGAGAGACGGGGGTAATGTGTCACGTGGCGCCATCTGTAGGCGAACACGGTAAACTCCGCGCAGTGGGGGCAGAACCGTGAACGCGGTGTAGGGAGGTCGACAGAAATAACAGCATCAGCATCGGCAGAAGTAGTAACAGCAGCAGCAACAACAACAGCAGCAGCAGCAGCAGTATAGTAGCAGCAGCAGCAGCAACAACAACAACAACAACAACAGCAGCAGCAGCAGTAGCAGCAGCAGCAGCAGTGAGTCGCGCGTACGAACCTCGGACGTGTCGAGCTTGCTATACTCGAGGAGCGTGCGGCAGAAGTTGCGACCCATGTCCTCAAGGTCGGCCGTCGAGAAGTGCGTGCCGACATTCTCACCGATGGTGGCGCCACAGAACGTCGCCTGAAATCCACCAGGGGGCGTGAGTGTCGACCAACGTAGTGGAGGTGAGTGAACCTCCATAGTATGGAGATTGTGTACCTTTGGTTTTACCTTATCGTGGTGCATATTTTACCTTCTAGTAAGCTTATCTCGGTAGTATTTCAGTAAAAAAGGTTTGCTGTTGACATATATATAGATGAGAGAGAGTGTGAGAGAGAGAAAGTGAGTGAGAGAGAAAAAAAGAATGAGAGAGATAGAGAGAGAGATAGATAGAGAGAGAGAGAGAGAGAGAGAGAGAGAGAGAGAGAGAGAGAGAGAGAGAGAGAGAGAGAGAGAGAGGAGAGAGAGAGAGAGAGAGAGAGAGAGAGAGAGAGAGAGAGAGAGAGAGAGAGAGAGAGAGAGAGAGGAGAGAGAGAGAGAGAGAGAGAGAGAGAGAGAGAGAGAGAGAGAGAGAGAGAG